TCTCTCTCTCTCTCTCTCTCTCTCTCTCTCTCTCTCTCTCTCTCTGATGATTTATAATTATATAAAGATTGATAATATTCGATGTTTTATAAAAAATTAATGCAAATTTTCTTAAATTGTGAAATAATTTGCACTAAATGTAGTAACGTACATGCATAAATATAGCATTTACATTATTAAATTCATAACATCCATTATAGGCAATTTAAGTTATTTTTAATCATTTCTATAGGTCGTCGCTGCTCTTACTCCATGTGTTAGTTTTACTAAAACAATGGAGTTAAACAGTTTAACTCAAGAAAATGTATTAAATTTGATTCAAATTTAGTTTATTATTTACTAAGTGCATACGTTAATATGGACGTTGTTTACTTTGAAACTAACCACAGAAACGGATAATTAATTTTACATTTTGACACACATAAAAGCTAAAGATAATGAAATGTTATTTAACTGAAGGAATTGGATTATCATTGCGCCTTTGATATTTAACAGTGTATATATATATATATATATATATATATATATATTTAATGAATTTATAAGATTGAGATATCCTGAACACTCTACGTAAATTATGAAGGATTATAATCGCGGATAAGAGAATCGTGATCGTAGTTATCATTTACTGTTTATTATAAATCAGTCACACAGTTGCATCGCTTTCCTCATTCATACGTGGGTACACACGCTTTACTTTTTGTTTAATCTTTTAGATAAATACATACATATATGTATGATAGTCATCGAAGTTTCCAAAAATGGAGGAATTAGTGAAAGAAAATTATATATCAATTATTTTTCACTGTATATAAGATAGTAGATAGTCATACGTGATATTCTATAAATTACGTATGCAACTCCCGTTCTTAAAAGATTACTTATAATAAATGATAAAACTTCAAATTATCGAAAGTAAAAAATATTAGAAATTAAATTGTGAAGTGTTATACATATATATCAGAATCTTAAAACTACAGTTTCTAATGCTTTCTATTATTATAGATTTGTTTGTTTCTAAAAATTATGATTTCTATTGTACTTTATAGAAAAAAATAATAAATTGTAAATAACGCATATATATTACATTAATTA